GGCCACAAATGTATAATTTGATTCGGTTTAATCTCTGTCTGGAACGCGACGTAGTCACCGAGTATTTATTACTAGAGGGAAAGCGAGAATAAACACAACAATCTTTAGATCCGATCGGGTTTTTGCAAAATCAAGGAATAAAAGTCACCTTCTTTTGTCATAAATAAATAAAGATACTAATAATTAAAAAAAAAAATACATATATCCGGAATTACTCTTTCTCTGGACGGCACATTCAACTGAAAGATGATGAAGTATTTATCAAAGCATTACTAGCGTTAAAAAATATAGCAGTAGTGAGATAGTTGCAAAAAACTATACAGAGAAACGCACCACGTTAAATTGTTAAAATCGCATTAATTAAAAATGTAGACGAATATTATTTTCGTAATAGTTAAAAGATAATAATTACTCAGTATCATCGATAACGAGCGTCATAGAGATAAATAATGAAATCGCGTTCATAGTCGTACTCCAAAAATACAATTTCCTGAGCACATTATTTTTGGCTTAAATTTCACTAGATAATTCACGAAACAGTTTTTGCTAGGCTTTGCCCGTTTTTCATTACCTACATGTTGATTATAGACGACAATACGAATAATAGATTATTTCAGTGGGCATTAAAGAGAACAATGTGTGTTATAAGTTATAATTGAATCACATTATAATCAGCCTCACATTTTTAACAAAACAATAACGACCAGAGTTGACGTGAATTGCATATTGATGCGAATGATCATTTTATTAGCCCGCGTCGTCGACCATGAAGAGATAAGATCGACCGGGCGATTAAGAACCGACCGGATTAGTTATTAACGGCGGAAACCCGAAGCGGTCGTTTCTACGTGGGATTTAGATTTGTTCGTTTACTAATTTCTCGCTAATGAGAGCATCAGCCGTGCCGGCTTGATCGGTCTCCGTTTCTTTAACTCATCATCTTAACGATTATCCTTCTGTCGCTCCTTCCGCTCCTTCCTGGGAACGCCTAACGGGGTTTAGATCTCTTTCTCCGTCTCTCTTATACGTACACACATGCACCAACAGGCGCGAAAAAATTCTTCATTGAGAGATATTTCAGGTAACAGACAGGCGGGAGAGAGAGAGATTGCGGGATTTTCTCGACGCGCCACGTCTCTCGATCCGCGACAAATTAACCCCTTTCGTGTCACATCGCATCTAACGCGGCAATATATATATATATATACGTGCTAATAAACTGGTTTTAATCGTCGATTTCGTATTTTACTCCTGTTTTTCCTGTAAAGCGTCGGACGTGGTATGATTACACTATTCAACAAAAAAAAAATAACCATAACGAGACGATAGTCGTTTCTTACAGCTTTTTGGGTACTGAATATGAATCTGGATTCCAAATGATTTTGTCGCGTCACAATTTTGAGAAATTTTTAATTAAAGTTGCAGAAAAGGACTTTTTCACGAACTTTGTTATATTACAGCTACAATATATGACGTGCTAGAGAAGTTTTATTGCAATCAAAATAAAGTATATTGTTAGGACTTTCAATCCTCAAAAAGAATTTTTAATGTCCGTTCTGGTTAATAAGATATCCGTGCTTAAATGCGATGTATTGCGGAAGTTAGTTGTAACTTAATTGACGATTTATAAATAGATTTCAATTATATTTATTTAATCTTAAAGGTTTTTCAGGTCAGTGAATCCAAATTTAAACTGGTGGACTAAATATGGCGGATTTTGACATCTCCCATATTGAGTACTATTTTGAATTTGACAATTTTGATATTGAATTCGTATTCAATAATCTAAAAAATCCTTAAAAACTATTTAGTAAATCGTCAACGATCAAACTGTAAGTCACAGCTAACTTTCGCAACACAGTTCATGTTTAACCATGCAAATCTTATTAATGATAACCGTCATCAAGAATTCCCTTTGAGGATTAAAAATCCTAACAATATACTTTATTTTGATCGCAATAAAACTTTTCCAGCATGTCACGTATTATAGGTATAATACGATAAAGTTCCCCTTTTGGCAATTTTAATTAAAAATTTCTCAAAATTGTGACGTGATGGAGCAATTGGAAATCGGATTCGTATTCAGCATAAAAAAAGTGATAAGAAACGATTAATTTCGTTCCGGTATTCGAAAAAAAGTAATTTTTTGTTGAACAGCGTAATCTGCCCTATTCTATAACCATTCGGTGAATATCATTAAATTTTAACGATTCGCTTTATGGAATGTCGTGTGCGCGTCCTTCGAATCTTCTTCGCTTTCTCTTTTTTTTCGCGATGACGAGCTACGTGTTTGCCGGTAATTATCGCGAAAAGCGCGGAAAGCTGTAAACTTTAACGATTGTCTCTAAACGGCTCGTAAAGCGCGCCGTTAACCAATTTGCGAAACCGAAATCCATCATCGGGGATATAAATCGTGCGAGATACGGACGTCGCGCAGAGGGAATTTAACGACGTGGAGGTCAAGAAATTTTCCAAAGGTCAGATTTCTCTCTATGTGTCCTGTCCGGCTAGTAAAGCCCGCCGCTCTGACGCACAAACCGAAATCTTAAAGCCGCATGAGGATACTGCATCTTTGATAAAAGTTGCAAGAGTTAACCCCCGAATCCTGCGCTCTCGCGCGCAACATTAATGATAAAATGATATCCCGCGCTACAAGATAAAAGTGTCTTTGCGTTGCACAAATCCTAATCAAATATAGAAGTTAAGGAAATCTGTGGATTTCTCTGGAAAATGATATCAATCTGTTATGGTATCTCTGATTATTTCAGTGAATTTTCTGATGGCTCTGTTTCAAACCACTCTCTCGGCTCTCAATCTTGCAATATAGATAAAAGCTATACAATATATACCATCATTATTCGATAGTCGATGCTGTACATATCTAGCCCAGCTCTTACGACCTCTTTCCGACAATTTTTTCAACGAAACTTTAAGTAAGGATTTAATTATATTATTCACATTTTCCAAATTGGAGAAATGTTGATTGTCAGTATTTTGATATTTTAAACTCAAGTGAAACTTTATGGGATCATAAATGACAAGATATTGAAATATAGTTGCATTTGAATACTGTTGGAATTTTTACAATGTAATAAAACAAAATTTTTTATTACAAGGTAAACTTTTATTCTGTGCTCCAGGTATCAAAAATAGTGTATTTGTCAAACTGAGTATGATTTTAAGTAATTTTACCTCGTAAACATCTTTTTTTGTCACAGTAAGAGAAACTGTGATTAAATATTAATCTCTGTGAATGTATTATATAAACAATAACATCTTTATTAATGCCTATTAATTAGATAGAAAAAAATCATTCTGGTGTAATTTGACGTCAAAATGGCGAATCTGTTATATCTGGAGTTCTTAACGGATATTTTATTACTTCTTATATATTCATAGAAATTAAAATTTACGGTTTCTTTTATTTTTGTTAGACAAAAGCATACTGTAAAAGGGTTTTTGAAATGTTCGCCTTAAACACTAAAATGACCACTAAACTCTATTCATAAAATAATCCCCGACGACAAAGTCCGAAGATTCCGAACAGTTTCTCTTTTCCAGGAAGTGAATAAGGGCATTTAATCTCTTTTGACCCTTTCAGGACATATGAATGCACATCTATTATAAATCTACTCCAGCTAAATACGAATAAAAAATTCGGCAATAAATAGAGAAATCGGAAAATATAACTGTACTGTATATTATATAATACTGTACGTAATGATTGAATTATGTAGCACAGTCGGCGATATTTTTCTTGACTGTTTATGATGGAAAATAATATATGAAATTATTATTTTAGCTTCTAAAACTTAGAAAAATGTTCGCGATTAAAATATATCAGAATAAATTTAATATAATAATAATATCGCGAATATATATTATAAAAAAGTACTAATTTTATATCCAAAGTTTCTATATAACAGATGACGAGTTCCATTGATCATATTTATTGAGCTCTCTCGAAAGGGTTGATCGTCGAACATAAAGATAAATTGCGAAAAATCGAATGTGACAGATGGTGAAAAAGAAAGAATAGCGAGAAAAAATGTAACGTTTCTAAATGTCGATTATAAAGACTATAGAATAGACCACGAAATGGAAATGTATCGTAAATTAAAGACACGCAACAACGAGTCGGGAAGAAGATCGAACCATTTGCTAATTTCAGTAGTCTGAAAAGAATAACGGTGTTTCTTACCCTTTTATTATAATATTAATAAAAGGAAAAGCCATTCGCGCGCCAATAACAACGGTGACAGCTAAATAATATCTGTATTCTAAAACTATATTGTTACGTGGCACGTGTCTTGATGGATAATTTTTGATATATTTTTAACTCTAACGCGTCCGCACATAAAGTTTTATTTTTTAATGCTACCGTTTCCATAGGAAATGTAGAGAATATATAGAGAAGACAAAGAATGGATGGGATACGGAAAAACCAACATCATAAAACTATTCTATAAAAGCATTCTTTCGAAGAAAAAAAAATAATAAAAAGAAAAAAAAAGAAAACTGGTTGAAGAAGAAAAGATAACGGGTTAACGCGACAGTGTTAGAGGCAATTTTGAGCAAATATTTTCACGACTAAACGGTAACCTCCTATTCTGCTGTGTTATACACTTGATATATAAAAAATATGAAATATTAATTTCATGCGCGTTGATCGCTTCATTTAAATCAAATGTATCGACTTAGCAACGCGTTGCGGAAGAATTATATAATACACAAGAGTGAAACATCTCCCTCCATATAAAAGAGACATCAAAGAGATATGAAAGGAATATTTTGACTCACCTGCGGATATATCTTGCATTTCTTATTCCGTTATATACGTAATATATATTAAAAATATTAAATATTATTACGAATATTAATATTAAATATGAATATTAATTGCGTGCGCGTTGCGGAAGAACGATCTAAAATATATAAGACACAAGAGGGAAACATCTCCCTCCATATAAAACAGACATCAAAGAGATTTTTTGACTCACCTGCGGACACATCTTGCATTGGTACTTCCTCGGCGGATGCGAGTGCGGTCCGCCGAGATGAGAATTCAGATGCGACGGATGGGAGGGTTTGACGGTGAGAGGTTGAGGAACCACCAGGAGACTTGCGGGTGGACTTCCGCTGCTCGAACCTCCGGCGCCTCGATACTGCTCGTCACCTGCAATCACACGTTCGCGTTCACAACACATTTGCAGGGAATTAGATCGGGTCACCTTGAGCGCGACGTCGCCGAGAGCCTTGTCTGTCTGTGCGCGCGCGACGCAGATATTATCCGACGTTTTAATTACTTTCAATCATACATTAGCAACCTACTTCGATTATAAAAGCAAAGCAGCTCTCCGCGAGGACTGAGAAAAGCAACAGTAATCATCGGCATTTTCCAGACTACTTAATTGAATGTTAATAATAGATTAAGCGCTCCAGATATTATGTGTTATTGATGCACTTTATACAAACGAGATCGTCTCAATAGGTTTTTCCGCTTCGTAATTTGCTCCGTGTTTAAAATATGACGCGAAATACCTTGTATGTCATATAACGCGTCATTGTCCACATCATTAACACTCGGTTTATTATTAGAGTATATAATTAACCCGATAGTAGTCTCTCTCTCTCTCTTTCTCCCTTCAATAGGTATCTTTAAAATCCCACAAGAATATTATACGCAACCTAGACTATTATAGGATGGGACTTATTGTGCGTGTTCGCGAGATGAAGAGTTATCATAATTTATCAGTCGCTATAAAGTACCTAGTTGCGTCCTCTCGCTCATGTTTGTCGCGAGGAAAAAAAATGGTACTCGCAAGCGATCGCGTTCAATACAAAGCGTAATATAGCACAGACGTATATCTATGTGTGTGTATCGAGATGATAATATCGAGACAGAAGCACTATAGATCGAACGGTGTCGACCGTTGCTGACGCAACGCACGGCGTGCAAGGGGCAAGGATCCTGCAGATTGCAAGGACGAGAGTCGATCCTGCGTTACGAGAGTGATCGTCATTAAGCCAACTTCTCGATATCGTTCGTGCATAAATGCACGTATGAATGTATGCAAGTGCGAGCGTGCGAGCACGTTCGCGGTATTCCGCTACTACTTTGCACTCTTACGCATCGACACTCTTGAACGCTCTTTATGCATGCAAAAATATACACCGTCATTCTTTCGGCGCGAGCGTAGATCGCAATTTCTTGAACGCGTCTTGAATTTACCGAGATAACTCTCTTATCCCGAGATAGAGACAACGGCGATGAATAAATATTTCAAATATATATATATAGACAAATTTTGATTTTTCTGGGACATTAAATTTCGAGATATTAATCCTTTATTCTTATGTTAATAATGTGATTATTATTTCTTTTATATATGTCATGTATCAGATTTATGCAATAAATGTGAGTTACGAGATTTAAATATATATAAATCTGCCATGTAAAAAGAAATAATCAAAACATTAATATAAAATAAATCTAATTAAAACATAATTATCCAATAAATTATAATTGAATTTATACATTTTTTGGTATCGTACTAAAAACATTAATGTCCTGCGCACACCGAATCAATTTCAGCGAAAAAGTAATTCTTTCTTTCAAACTGACGTATCTAACCACTCGTGTCTGCTTCTTACTAGCTATTAAAATTTAAATATTAATTTATAAAGATTTTGAAATTTGACTGAGAAGAGTAAAAAATATATGTATCTATATATATCCGTTTAGTATCTCGAGTATTCATGAAATTGGTTTTACATTTTTCTCAAAATTTTTAAAATTATTGCGTCTAAATTCTCATTGCCAGTCTTTTAAAAAAACGCATATATTATCATAAAATCAAATATTAGTCTTCCATTGATAAATCGTGAGGACTTATCAGAAATAGGATTATCATTAAATAGAAATATATGTTTATTGCTTAGTTTACTTTAATGTTCAATCTGGAATTTTAAAATTAATATCATTCGCGCGTTTCGAATCCCTTTTTACGCGAACATCCTTTTACGAGCAGTAAAATCGGGCGGAAACGTTATCGGCGTTAAATAGAGGAAGTTGTAATAAATTGCGTATACTTGATCTGCTTCCTGCCAATAATAGAAAAGTTATCGCTCGACCTTGAACGAGTAAATGTGCCTCAAAAGTGGAACCTCTCACTTGGATACCACTAAGATCTAAGCGCGATTTTACGATTCTTTCAGGCAGGATGTCTGCATTATAATATATTTAAATTTCGATTTACGCACACGCATATTGCATAAATCGGAAATTCGATTTTCGTCACATTTTTTCTACGAGATATTAATAAATATATCGCGTTGCGAAATGAAAAGAAAGAAAAAAAAAAAGAGAGTGAGAGAAGAAAAAGAGAGAAAAACCTAATGCACACCGCGTCATTAATGACTTCATAATTTATTAATAGCTCCTTTACTGCTCTTCACGCGCTTCGTGCGCATCTTCGCTCGTTAAGTTTAGTTCAGAAGCGAGGACCCTTCTCTCTTACAAGGACGGGGGCATCCTGTGACTTTTACGACAATGCATGAGCATGTTCGGCGGAGTACATATGTAGGCGGTAGAAGACGCGCTTCTCTAAAGCAACCCACGCGAGTCAATTTCGCTCAGAGAACCAATGTCGGACACGTAAAGAATATATATACTCTCGCGCGTTTTCGATATTACGTGTAAATTATTGATTCGCGAGTAATCCGATCGAGTAGATAAAGCGGTAAACATTGTCGCTATTTCATTCATTTAATTTAAAAATTAAGAATAAAAATGTATAGTTTTTTTTATAAAATGTATATTATATGCTTTTTACTTATGCATGCTAGAAAATATCCATATAGTTTATATCCATTCCAGAGTAATATTAATTAATGACAACCCTCAAATCGATATTCATGCAAGGACAAATCTAATATAGATGTTTACTTCGAACTAGTGGGACATCAATTTATGCACACAATAAATTTGATATACATATAATTACTAGTATCATATTATAACATGATATTATTAAACATAAATAGAAAGAGAGAATTTTATACTTTTTATATATAATTGAGAAGTATTATTTAAAAGATTTCCTTAATGATTATATCTTCATTACTCTAGATCGGAATGATTAAGTGAATCAATGTTTGCGCGGAATCGAAGATAATCGAGTGATATTGTTGCAACATAATGAGAATCGAGTAACAAGTATAATATCGAGCACAGCATCAAAGTTCAAGGCACACAAACGTATGCTATACTTAAAGGCAGTGCAATTAGAATAATTTTACCGATAAAGAAAAGAACGTCAGAGAGTTATGTAACATTTAAAAAATTTTATTTCAAGAATCGGCGCGATATTTCAGCGTTTCATTGTAATCATATATTTCTATCGCGATATCTCTGATGGTATTTTATACGATTCTCTGAGCAACCTTCTGTTTAGCTTAATTCGTTCAGCGTGTGATGTTATGTAATCGATATAAGTTACATATATACCGATCTAATCCTTAATCAGACATGCGATCCAGGTGAAAACAGGTGCCATTTCCGAGTTTATGCAAGTTTCATTCGCTATTATTATGGATTTATCTACTTATTAGCATTGTATCACTCATTCCACCTAGTAATTTGCTAGCTGCTTGCTTCTCACGTGTCGAGTGTTGCATTCGTATCGAAATAAAAAAATATTCCCTTCTTTACGACTGCGTGCGTCACATTCGTTATCTAGCTTTGCTAAAATTTGCGAATGTTAATTATATTGCGGGCGATTACAGATTTAAATGATACCTCGAAATTTCGTCATAGGATATGCCGCTCGCACGTGGATTCATTTTATTAAATTCGCACTAAAATAAATTTTAATTTAAATTAAACACGCATCACCATTGACCGAATTCTTTAAGACACAAGAATAGACTCGCAGCTGTTGTTTGACGTCAGATACTTAATTGCGGAAGACTGCGTGCGGTTCGTTTCCCAATATAGGTATGATATTTTTTTTATTCTCGCGTCTTCTCGCGATGTTTCCGCGGCGCTCTTTTCGTCTAATCGATCAATCTCGGGAGATTGCATATATATGTATTACATGTGCACGTACGTAACGTTCTCCTCGCGGCATAACTAATTGATCTTTCCAGCCGCGCGCTTGAACCCGATAATTACCATTTACATACGTGATCTCGTGCGCGAGAGTCGCGACAATCTTTGGCCGTAACACCGGACGAAGAGGCCACCGCCTCTCCTTCGAGAGATCACCGTTTGCCGGTGCGTGCGACACACATTCGCCTCGTCAGGGAAAAATGCAAGAAATTATACTTGGCGTAGGCTTCAGGTGCAACGCTATATAAAATGCGCGATTGCCGAAGCCCAGCTCCACACTGGCGGCGTATATGAAAATAAGGATAAAAGTGAAAATGCAAATGGAACTGGACGAAGGCTAGTGTGTTTAGCAGCGCGGCTTTGCGCTCTCATTCGTGGAAATCTACCTCTCTTCGCGTATAATTCATATATAATCTGCGCACGATCCATTATAATGGATCTTGGTCTTGGAAAGTTTTGTCAATTTACCGCGTAATATTGGCCCTATTTTTTTATTCTATTACATATATTTAATATGAAGGATAGATCAAAGTCAGCTTGGAAAAAATTCAAGACAAATTTCAATATCCAAATAAATAAGTTCTTACAAGATTTATATAACAAACAACAAAACTACGTAACTTCATTTTATGCCCGGCTATACGTATTATAGAGAGAATGAGAAAGCATTTTTTCGCGAGAAATAGAAAATCGAATATTAATTCAATTTTTTTTTTTTTGGCACACGTGTGTAGAAGGGGATCCATCTTACTCTCTCGGTGTTTGAAAGTCGCGGCTTAACGCAACATTTGTCACGATGATAAGCGTAGAGATGTCAAAATATTTTTCCCGATCGCGGGCATCGGGCGATAATAATATATTTTCGTGTGACGTTCGCGCGTTGAATTTCATATGAACGTATTTTCACGCACACGTGGTCCAGCCTGGACAAGCAGACAAGCGCGAGCTCGCGCGCGCGCTTAAACCATTTCCATCTACGTGCTACGGACACGCGTGCGCGCGACACACGCACGCACATTCGTGACGAGAGCGTTAATGACGTATGACGCCACACACCTCCCGGC